ATATATATATATATATATATATATATTATTTTTTTCACTCTAAAGTAAATAGTTAATCATATATACTTTTTTTTTGTTAGAGCTAATCATATAAACATGATCTAACATCTAGCTTGCATTACATATTTAATTTCTTTTTTCATTCTATAAGATAAATTTGAGCTCATCTATATTCTTTTTATATTTTTTTCTCTCAAGTAAATAGTTACTCATATAAATATTTTTTGTTACATTTAATCATATAAACATGGTCCAACATCTAGCTTGCATTACATATTTAATTTCCTTTTTCATTCTATAAGACAAATTTGAGAGTGGTTTTTTTTCTCTCCATATATATATGTGAGACTAGTTTTTTTAATCATAAGAATTACTGTACTAACATCTTGTTACAAGTGGAAAAAGTATGCATAAGATTTATTTATCATACTTCATTCTTTTACTCAAAGATGTTCTATTATCATTTTTTAGGAACTAAAGGGACGGAAACCCTTCACGTAAAGATAAATAAATCTTATGCATATCTTCTTTTGTATTTAACATTACCTTTTGTTCTCATCCGTTCGACTTAAATAGTTTACTATCCTTTTTTATGAAATGAAACTTTTTTTCTCTCTCATGAATACATATTACTTTTTGATTAACAATTTTAAAATAATGTGTGGACCATAATAATGAACAAAAGAAAACTTTTTTTTTATAAGTGAAATGAGACTCTTAAACATTTGTAAATATGCATCAATAATCATCATTCATTCAATAATGAGAAGGAGAAATCACATAATAATAATATGAATAAAAAATTCCAATCCCAAGTTATGACACTTAATATAATGAGATTGTGCTTAGAATTATTAATTTTGAATGACATTTAAGAAGAGTTTGGAGCACAAATTTTTTTCTTTTTTAAAAGTTTGACATCAAGAATGTTAATTGTTTACATTTGATTTGTTATTTTAAAAATAACATTCATAAAGAACACTATTTTGCATGAATTTCTCACAATTATTCCCATAAAAGATGTGAGAAACTAATTTTTCCGATGCAAAGATAAAGTTTTTATTTGGTAAAAATATTATATTATATTTCTTTACTTATTTAATACGGTAAAAATCATTGATTCAATAGTAATATTTAAAACATTCTCATAAATATTTATGATCTACTAAAAATTTATTATTCTCGGGAATCATAATTCATAAACCTTAAACCATAAAGTTAAAAATAAAAACAATTTGTTGTGTACCGAGTGTCTCTTTAATTAATGCCTCTAGCCCTCTACACACGCATGCGTGTATACACCGTAGTCAATTCTACCTTATTCATGAAGGAGAGTTAACAAATGCAATCAAAGAGAAGAAAGAACCAACATGAAGGCATAAGGGAGTTTGTGGAATGCGATAGGAGGATGCACTCACATGGTGATGAGATGGACAATTTGTCTTTAGGGATGACTTGGGTTTTTTTTTTCTTCCTTCCTTGTCTCCTCTTTTTCATTTACTATCTCTAGTCCTTATTATAGGATTCAAATTTCCAAGTATTAATATTTATAAAAAAAAAAACCCTTATTATATGTATTTGTTGAGTTCAACAAGGAAAATTCATCTAAATTATGTCTCATTAATACAAATAGTCTCATTATCTAGTCTTTGAATACAAAAACTTTGAAAACATATATTGAGTGTCACATTAATTTAGTAGTAGTTTTGGAAAGAGATGAAAATTTAAGACATATTTATTGATCTTAACCAAAAAAAAAATATTTTTTCAATCTTGATAAATTAGTTATTTGAAATCTATAATAAGGATTTGACATTTGAGTAGGGATGGCAACGGGACGAGGCGGGTACGGTTTCATGATACCCGTCCCCGTCTCCGCAAGTTAAACTCATCCTCATCCCCGTCTCCATACCCGTCGGGTATAGATTTTCATTCTAATCTCCGTCCCCGTCGGGTATCGGGTATACCCGTACCCGTACCTGTACCCGTCAATTTTTTTTTTATTTTTTATTTTTTGTAAAAAAATGATATTTTTAAATTATTTTTTTATTATATTATAATTATAATTAGGTTATTTCTTTATCTCATATTATAATAAATAATCACGTATAAAAAAATATTAAAAAATTTTAATAGAATTAAATTGAAAGTGAATATTAAATTAAAAATGAGAACGGGAACGAGTACGGGTATACATACCCATACCCGTACCCGTACCCGTACCCGATTTAATATATCGGGTTTTACCTGTACCCGTACCTGTACCCGGTCAAACCGGATATTTCCCGTCAAAGTCGGGACGGGTTCGGGTATTACCCGCGGGTACGAGTATATTTGTCATCCCTACATTTGAGGTAGCAATTTTCTTTCTCCTTTATTTTATGTTTGTTGTCTTGTGTCTCTCTTGTGTTTGGAGCCAAGAAAAGCTAATCCCTTATTGGGTCCAAGCACGTACTATTTTCATATTTTTCCTTACATGTTTCAACACACAATAATACACATAAAATAATATTTAATTATTTAATTTTCTAATTAACCCAATTTCCGTTTAATTTTCTAATTAACCCAATTTCCGGAATGTTACAAGTTGCGAAGTCAAAAGCAAAATTACAAACTCTCTCATCGGTCCATTGGAAAGTTTCACCTCGAAAAATTAATTTTTAGAACTTCATTACAGCAATCATGATCTCTTTTCTCATCTTTCTGTTTTCTTGAATTTCTTTATCTTTTACTAAATCCTTAGGTTAAGGTAAATGAATTCTATTGGATTTCTATGTTAATTAGTTTCTTTCATAAATTTGAGCGCTTATTCTTTACACTTCATTATGTTTGCTCGTATTAGTCATTAGTGAATTGATCTTAGTTGAGGCTGGTGATGTTGTAGGAATAAAGTTTCTTAATCAGATATTCTGCTAAATTTCTTCGTGCAAAGCTTAATTAGATCTAGATTTATCAAAGGAGTCGGAAATCTGGGTTTAAGTGAAGGGACATTGATTAAAGAAAAATTGAACTTTGTTTAATATTGTTGTTTCGGACTTCAAAGCGATAATATTATTCTTGTGTTGAATTGAGTTTGGTTGCTAGAAAGACAATAGAGAGATTTGATTCCATATATTGAATTTCATACAATTCATATATATCATAAAATGTTTATTCGTTAATCATTAGTCTTAATTATCTACAGTTAATTTTTATCAAACAATTCATATATTTGATTAGTTCAAATAATAGCAAACAATATAAGCTTATGAGAAAGTACCGATCCTCATCGGGGTCAGAATTATATCTTCTGTTGTGTTAATTACATATACAAGTAGTGTACTTGTTAAATCTTATGAACTAACTATTATGTTAACTAAATTCCAATTTCAATTTGATTTTGACTGCAAATCTGGATAAATTATGACAAATTATTTAGAAATGTTCTTAGGGATTAAATGGATTTATTTATATCTAGAAATGTGAATGAAATTTTCAAGAATTTAAAAAAAAAATCCGATTAGAATTGTTAGAATTTCAATATAGTATTATGTATTTTTAAATTTAACTTGATAAGTTAACCACTTCATCCTTTTTACACAATCCATGTAAGGAAAAAAAATCCATTTTAAGTGAGTTTCAAATATCAAATTTGAATTTTAGATCAATTATAATAAAATACTTAAATATGTTTTATTTAACTAAAAAATAAAATAGGAAAAAATAAGAGAGAAAAGAAAGATATGTGAGTAGTGGGTGAGAGTTGAAATAATTGTTAATGAGTGAGAGAATAGGTTCAGTGTTGAGATCAGTGTTGATGCTTGGGAGAAAAAGTTGCTAAAAAAAGTGGGAGGAAAAAAATCAATATATTTGTAATATAATATAATTTAAAGATAAAACAATTTCAATAAAAAAACAAAAATCAAAAAGCTGTTGAAGTGAATATATCCTCTTATTAATAGATATTTTAATAATATGTTTAAAATTTTAAAATAAATTATTTATATAATTTATTTATATATGTATAGATAAAATTACACTATTTATATTTTTATCTTTCAGTTCATGATTAAAATTTCGCGATTCTATTGACTAGAGAACAAAGTATTTTATTTATTTATTATTTTTTTTGAGAGAAGAGAACCCAGTAATATTCACACGTATTGGTCGTCGTATTATATATAGATTATTTTATATAGAATTGTCGTGAAAGTCGACGGTGATTCTGTAAATAGCCAGCGTTAGCAAAGTACGTCATGGTAATGATGTCAACACTTGCTAAATTTGACGATAAGTAACACTGAAAAAACATTTTATCTGTGCCGAAAAGAGTACCCAATAAAATAAGACGACTCTTTTAAGTCTTTTTGTCTTTTACTTGAGTATTACCTAGAAATTATGCAACTCTATAAAGAATCTAATCTCCATGTGTGATTCATCTTCTTAATTTGTTGAGCTGATCATGACAACATAAAAATACTATAAATTGTTGACTTCATGTTGAATTGACCAAGTTAAATTTTTATCTTTTATGGAAAATAATAATTCGTTAATCATTCATAATCTATAATAATTTATAAATATATAAAAGACCTGAATTTTTATTTTTTAACTATATATTTAGAATAAAGTATTCACATCGATGACTAATATATATTTTTGAAATATTTTGTGAATAATATCCATAAACTAATATATATTTAAATTTAAATACTTGTTTTTAAATGTTAAGATCTTTTAGATATATTATTGTTTTTAATAAGTTACATGAAGTTGTTGAGCATGTTGTTTGCATTTTCAAGCTTGAAGTTTGTAAAAAAATATATTTAAAAAAAAAACAATGCAAGTTTAAAAGATAGTAGTAACAAAAGTTGTTGAGATTGAATTTCATTTATCTAGCTCTTATACACTCTTAAAATTATCTATATATGATTCTTATCGTTCAATATCATTGGATTCTCTAAATTCATTCTAAATCAATTTCTTGTCTTTAAAAATTTTTAAGATGCTAATTTAATAAATGAATTCTTTATTTATCAAGTTAACATCATTGCATTAAGCTCGAGAACTTATTCAATTAATGACTCTAAATCTATCGCTGGTCTTTAGAATCATTAGGTGATTTGATTCAAAACAAACTTAGAAAATATTTTCCAATAATAATCCAAATCAAATATCAAAAAATGAGTGATCAATCCACCTTAAGCATTACAAACATAATCAAATCACTAATATTGAATAATAGATGATCATATATATGAATCAAAAGGATTATATAAGAGTTTTGATAGACTACATTCAATCTTGGCAAAAAGAAGTGGATTAGCTACTCATAGTAATGAGAGTCATCTCCATGTACAAAGAGAATATAGAAGAAGAAGAAATTAAATTCAAAATCTTATTCTTAGTTGATCCTTGAAGTTCTTCCTTCCATTTTGTTCTATTTGCTCCTTTCGTTGTTCTTTGATGCCTCTTTTTCTCTCTTCTCCTTCCTTAAATATGTTAAGTCAATAAAACAATGTATGCATGAGAGAGTAACCGCTCAACCTTTTCCAAACAGTTGAGTAGATTAGTGAATTCTTCAAGGTGAAGGAAGCTCCATCAATTGAGCCCTTGTAGATCCACTTAACCCCAAGGATTTGAAATTTTCCCTCTTTTCTGGAACAAATCCACTTAATCATTTTTAAACGACTAAGCGAATTTGACTCTTCTGTCAATCTTGCTCTTTACCTTTGATTTGCTCAATCATTTTCAAATGGTTGAGCGGATTGAGGTGTTTTGATATTATGAAACTTCATTAAATCATGCAAGACACAAAATAAGGGTTTACAAATAAAATTTTCATGCATCAACTTTTTACAAACTAACTAAATTATACAACCTTTTTCATTTTTGT